GGCCGACACTTGTAAAGACACCTATCGAGTCAGCTCCCTACCTGTAAAGACACCCTTCCGATCTACTATAAAAAGGAACTGCACTGCATAAGATAACTTCTTCTTTTTTGAGGCAACTTTGAATAATTCCTCTCACTATTTCTCTTATATTTTCTCACTCAAGTTCATACACTAACTTAATCGTCGGAGAAACAACTGGAGAACCCAACTCCGGCCTCTCACGAGTTCTTCATGTGCATGGAAGAACAACGATCTACAGAGCCATTCATCTGAATAAGTTTGAGGACCCTAGCTTTACTGTAATCCACAAATAAACCTCATGTTTGATAACTGGCATCAACAATGAATGTTTTTAAAGTAATGTAATGCCAAAGTATTTCAATAAAGAATTTTTTTGTCATTATCACTTTAATCTTTAATTTTTGAATTATCTCCTTAATTCATTGAAATTAGTATTTGGTCCTTCAGATCTTATAAATTGTTTCAAATTAAAATATTTTAATCGACATGGAATTTAAACGAATGGGTTTTTTTTATTTTGGTTCTAAACTGGATGGATAGTATTGAGATGAGATAGATAATTAATTGTAATCTTACCTCCAAATTTAAATCTCAACCCACTTGATTACCACACAATGCGTAATGTTTGAAATCAATCCAGGTACAACGAACCTCCATGTACCCATCTACAATTCTATCTACCAATAGTGAGAGGATAAGTTGAAATTTAAACTAAATATTGTGAATTCAATTATCCTTATCTTTAAACAATATATCTTTGTCAATTATCACACTATAAAAAGGAAGCAAGAGAATCTCTCATTCTCTCTGATCCGTGAAGTCATCCTCCTAAAAAAGAGTCAATATCATCTCGAATTCTTCATGTTCATACTGCAGCTCCAAGTATACATATATATCAAAAGAAAAAAAAAGAAGAAAAAAGAAAAAAGAAAAAAGAAAAAAGGGCAATCATCAGCCTTCTTCAACTCATGGCCGTAGCCACTATATCTCAGCCTTTGCCTTTCCCATCATCTGATCTCATAAATAATAATAATAATAATCAAAACCCACTTCTCACCTCATCCCAAGCAACGCCATAAAAAAAGGGGTTACAACTTGACATATATCCCCGTCTGCAAAAACGCAGTACCGGTCGGGAAAGAAAAAAGGAAGCAAAAAGTCATCTACTTACCGGATGGCACCGTTCTCACTCTAAGGGGCTATTTGTTTCTTTTTTTTTTTTGAGAGGTTTTTTTGAGAGGGAAAGTTGGGGAAAGCCTGCCAAAAGCTGCACTTTTGGCAGGCTTTCCTCACATTTCCCTCTCAAAAAAAAGGAAACAAACAGCCCCTAAGTCACCGTCTTCGTACGAGGCATCGTCCTCATCCAATGCCACTATGCTTGACCCCATACTCACCAAATGCACCGTCCTCAACCCCAAGCCCTCGTGCTCAATCCCGAGTCACCGTACTCATTTAAGGCACAATGCTTATCCAAGTCACTATACTTAATCTGAGGCACCATCCTCACCCGATTCCTTGTATTCAACCGAGGCGCCATCCTCTATTTGAGCCACCATACTCAACCACAAGGACCGTGCTCATCCCTCGAGTCATTGTACTCACCTACCGATTTGACATACTCGCTTAAACTTGACTTTAGTCACGCTTGTATTGTATGGGAAGGCTTCAACTGGACTCAAAATTCAAACTCCATTTCACGTCTCCAAGGCGAATCTAAATACAAATTCAACAATTATAATTGCTAGTTTAAAATTTTATATGAATTTTTATACACTAAAGGGTATGCCTCTGGTTAAGCCATGTACATGATCATTTTTTAATAAAATTATTGTGTTTTTTCGCTTTATGAGTTTTTTTTTATTATTTTGATGACATTTATTGACTCTTAATTGAAGATTTTTTTCTTCAGAAAGAATAATTAATAATAGGCTCTTGAGTCTATTAGAAACTATGGACCAACATAAAAATAAAACCCTTTTTATAGGGTAAGTTCGATAGGATCGATATGGAAATCAAAGTTCTCTACAAGGGACAAGTTTGATTAAAACCGTATGGATACGCATCAAAGTATAGCTGACAATGCATGCTTAAAAATTAAATTAAAAAAAAATCAGAATCAAATGATAACGAAGTAGAGGGACTAATTTGAAATAATTATAACATTTGGGCCCATAATAGTAATTCAAATGAATTGAGAGAGTAACTTCAAACTATTGAAGTTTTGAGGGGCTAAATAAAAAAACCCTTAAATTTCTATGAACGAACGGACAAAAATGCCCCCAAAATCTTCCCTAAATCAAAGAAATTCCTAAAGAAATTTTTTTCCATATAGAAACAAACAAAAAAGATCCCCAGTAAATTTTCCCTAACACCCTTAAAATTTTGACCATACATAAGCAGTCAAAAAAGTCGCCAATTAACTTTTCCCTAGTAAAGCACTACTTAAGAAAAGGCTTAATTGCAATTAAACACTATATTTTCCTCACACTTATATCTCCTTACTTGTTGTTCACAACAATTATATACTGCAAAGTTTTTAAATTTTTACTTAAATATTCTCAGTTAGGCAAACACTAGAATTTCTCTTCAAAAATTCTCATGCGAACCCACATCCTATTTTAAGAACTTTTGAAACCTATCTAAATTCTATTTTAAAACAAAATTTCGATATATTTAACAGTAAACTTAATGAATATCAAGAGTGAAAATCATCTAAACTAAGCATGTGAGTGTGACATGATAATTTTTTGAGGGAATTTTTAATGTTTGCGACAAAATTTTATAATATTAAGGTGTATAACCGCCATTAAAAACAATTGAGGGCATATAAGTACAAAGTAAAGGAAACTATAGGGTATTTAATTCAAATTAAGTCAAAAAAGATTTTTTTTTTTTTTAGATATTAGTCTCTTAAATCTTAAATAGGTGCATATTCGTCTCTCAAATCTTAAAAATTGTATATTAATCTCCTAAATCGTATTGAGTTTTACAAAATGGTCGTTAAAAAACGTAAACAAGATTTGGTTCACTCCTGACCCAATATCTGTAATCACCAAACTACCCGATGTTGTAATATTTTAAATATTTTGTGAAGCTCAACTTTAGGTTAGGTTCCAACCGTCAGAGAAGAAGAACTCAAGTAGGGTAAAATGGGCTAGAAAACATAATAGTGGGGTAGAATGGTTACTTTGCCTCCAACCTTTAGATTTGACGGAATATTCCTCTCAAATTTGACGCGAATTAGCTAGGAATGAACTGATATGCAATTTCTAAGATGTAAGGGACTAGTATGCAATTATTGAAGATTTTAAGGGACAAAGAGCATCTCCAAGGGGCCGTAAAAATCCATCCCCTTAGCTAAATTTAGGAAGATTTAAGGGTTTGTGTTCCAAGGGACCGGAAAAAGATCCCCTTCACCCTAAGTCCCTCAATTTCCTCCCTAAATTAAGGGGAAGGTTAAAGTCTCTTAACCTTCCCCTTATAATTTTATATTAATATATTTTATTTTGGAGTTAATTTATAGTTAATTAAATTTAGTTATAGTTAATTTAAAATAATATAATTAAGTTAATGTATAGTTAATTCAATTTGATTAATATTTTTTTAAAATGTACCCCTTATAATTTTTATTATAATTTTATTAATATTTTTTATTAATTATAGGTTGTTTTTCTAGTATAGGGTGTTTTTTTAGTATAGCTTTTTTTTTTCTAGTATAGGCTATTTTTCTAGTATAGGTTTTTTTTTTTAATTATAGGTTGTCTTTGTAGTGTGTTTTTCTAGTATAGGCTTTTTTCCTAGTGTAGGCTGTTTTTCTAGTATAAACTTTTTTTAATTATAGGTTGTCTTTGTAGTATAGGGTGTTTTTCTAGTATAGGCTTTTTTCTAGTGTAGGCTGTTTTTCTAGTATAAACTTTTTTTAATTATAGGTTGTCTTTGTAGTATAGGGTGTTTTTCTAGTATAGGCTTTTTTCTAGTGTAGGCTGTTTTTCTAGTATAAACTTTTTTTAATTATAGGTTGTCTTTGTAGTATAGGGTGTTTTTTTAGTATAGCCTTTTTTCCTAGTGTAGGTAGTATATGCTTTTTTCCTAGTGTAGGCTATTTTTCTAGTATCTTTTTTTAGCTCCAATAGCTAATTTTTACCCTATAAATAAGGCACTACCCTGGAGTGCACATTCACATTTCACTCTTTCATTGTTTCGACCTCTATTTCATCATATATACTACAATTTAAGGTAGGTTATAATTTTTGTTTAATTATTTTTGCACTTAATGTTTCTTATATTTTCAACAATTTGGGAATTTTAATTAAATCAAATCATACTCATGTGAGATTTATACTTGATGTAGATGGTAGAAAATAATAATCCATATTATTTCAATTTGATGACTAGTCATCATCCATGGGAAAAACAATATGAAGAGCAATCATTTCAACGGGATATATCCGAAGAAAATTCAGTAAAAAATGTACCATTGCAAAAGAAGTCGATGCGAAAATCAAAATATCGGATGGAAGAAGACATCTCGCTTGTATCTGCATGGATCAACACTAGCATTGATCCAGTGCAAGGGACATTGCAAAAATATTCCATATTTTGGTACCGAGTAGCAACTTACTATCAAGAAAATAAGACATTCAGTAGCAATCGTGATAAAAAAAGGGTCAGAGCACTGTTGGTCGACTATTCAAATTGCAGTTAGTAAATTTTGCGGGTGTTTTAATCAAATTGAAGCAAGAAATCAAAGTAGCATGACAGAGAATGGCAAGGTACTAATTGTGGCTTCAAATTATTTAAACTGATTAGATTTATATAATTTATTAATTGTTTTATTTTTTACATGTTAGTAAATTTATTTTATTTTTAATTAGATTATGGAAGCGATGCAAATATTTCAAAGCATGCAAGGAGCAAGTTTTTAATTTTTACATTGTTGGAATGATTTAAGGTTCCATCCAAAGTGGCTTGGCCAATTTTCAATGAAAAAAATCTATGTACTCAAAAAATTCAAGTCCTACTACATCTTCTCCTGCAACTCCAAATTCAATAAATTGCAGGAAAGACGAATATCCTACTGAGGGTTCGTCAAGGCCCATAGGTAGAAAGGCTGCAAAAGAAATGTTGAAACAAGGTTAAGACAAGCATGTGGCTTCTGAAATTACACCAGTGATGTTGTTTATTGATGAAATAAAATAGGATCGGAAAGAAAAAGAAACAAAAAGAGTAGAATTATTTGATTAAATTTATGTTCAGGAGCAAGAGCGCATAAAGATAGAGCAAGCCAGACTACAGGTCGCTCAAGAAGCTCAAAATATCAAAAAGGAAAAAATATGATTGAAAGCAATGAAACAAGATGAGAGGATTATAGCAATTAACACTGATGGCATGCTTCCATTACAAGTAGAGTATTACAATAAGCTGAAGATGAAAATTTTTGGAAGACAATTTGGTGGTGGTAGTTCAAATTAGAAGGAAGATGGTGACGATTCAAATCTACAATTTATTTAGTGTATTTTTATGTATTTCAATTTACCCTTGTTGTATCGTACTTGAAGATGATGTATCGTATTTGAAGATTTTATGAAGTTCTATTTATGCAAATGGAAACATTATGTCTAAAAACAAATTAGATCACATATTGATATAGAAATTCAACGACATCAATATTACATCAACTAATAGGTCCTTACTTGCAACACTAAATTCAATAACATTAATATTACATCAGCATAAAAACCCCTTACTAAAACCCACCATTCCGTTCCCATAAATGCTCGACAAGATCCTATTGCAATTAAGAATGAGTTTGCCTGTCTCTAATGCGATGATGATTCTGAATAAATTCACACAAATCTATTGTACGTTCGTGAGACACTAATATAATTGGAGCTTCCTCAACAGCATTGTACGTGAAAGTCGATATAATCATCATTTATTTCATCTTCAACAATCATGTTATGCATTATTATGCATGCTTGCATAATATTTTTCAATATTTTCTCATCCCAAGAGCGCGCTGGTCCACACACAATTGCAAAGCATGATTGGAGTACCCCAAATACTCGCTCTACATCCTTTCTTGCCGACTCATGAAGTGTAGCAAAATGTTTTCTTTTATTTCCTTGTGGTAAAGAAATTGTTTTAACAAATGTTGACCGTGACGGATATATACCATCAGCAAGGTAGTATCCCATAGTGTATTCATGACCATTGACTATATAATTAACAGTCGGACCATGTCCTTCAACAACTTGAGAAAAAACGGAAGACCGTTCTAACACATTAATGTCATTAAGATCTCCCGGTAAACTGAAAAAAGCATGCCAAATTCAAAGATCATAGGAAGCAACAACTTCTAAAATTATTGTAGGGGTGTGGATGTGATCAGTATACATACCATTATACATAGCCGGACAATTCTTTCATCTCCAATGCATGCAGTCAGTGCTTCCTAACATCCCAGGAAATCTTCGTTGTTTGCTAATTGCAAGCAATCTTGTAGTGTCCTCGTCAGTTGGTGACCTTAGATACTCATCACCGAATATTGCAACAATTACTTTGGTAAAGCTGCCGAGACTCTCTATAGCGGTGCTTTCTCCAATCTGCATGTAATCATCCACAGAATCTGCTGATACTCCATGTAAGCATCTAAAAATGCCTATAGGTGTCCACACACATCTCGAGATAAAGAGAATGTGATGAACGCTATTATCTAAGTCGAAGGGGATTGTCCGAGTCAAAGAAGATCATCTGATGCCGACAAGCGCATGAAGCGAATCGGCGAAACGTTGATGACGTGGCGACGAACCACCAGAACGGCCAACGCCAGGTGGCCCGCATACTCACCGGCCACCACCAAGTGGTTCACATGCTAATTAGCCACAAAAATGGAAAACCAAGTGGCCCGCGTGTTCCCCGGCCACCTCTAAGTGGCCCGCGTGTTCACCGGCCATCTCCAAGTGGCCAGCGTGCTCATCAGCCAGCTCCGAGTGGCCCGCGCGCTCATCAGCCAACTCCGAATGGCCTGTATGCTCATCGGCTAGCTCCAAGTAGCCAACATATTCACCAGTCATGTCCAACTTAATGAAATGTATAATGCGAATCGGTGAAGCGTACGAGTCAACGTAACACACGAAATGACAAAATAACCTAGCTAGGAGTTATGTTTTGCCCAAAAGGGATGAAACACCATGTGTGACTCACACATACCATGTGTGGCTCGGCTATTGGAAGTTTCAGATCTCTTCTCCAAATTTTCAACGCATCTTGAATCACCTCATTCCGAGATCGAACGAGAGAGTTAGAGCCAAAATACTCGAGGATGTACGAACTGGCTCGCACAGTGCCGAGGCACCAATTGAACAAAACACCATGTGTGACTCGCACATACCATATATGTCTCGGCTATTGGAAATTGTAGATCTCTTCTCCATCTTTCCAACGCATCTTGAATCACCTCATTCCGAGATCGGACGAGAAAGTTAGAGCCAAAATACTCGAGGACGTATGAACTGGCTCGCACAGTGCCGAGCCACCAATTAAACAAAATACCATGTGTGACTCACACATACCATATGTGGCTCGGCTATTGAAAATTGTAGACCTCTTCTCCAGCTTTCTAATGCATCTTGAATCACCTCATTCCGATATCGGACGAGAGAGTTAGAGCCAAAATACCCGAGGACGTACGAACTGGCTCGCACAGTGCCGAGCCATCATTTGGTGTCTCGCACAAAGAACTAACATTTCAGCTATAATGTGATTTGATTATGGAGAAACTCAAAATATAAAAGTTGTAGGTCTCTTCGTCATATTTCTAACTCATTTTAAATCACCTCATTCCGAGATCAGATGAGAAAGTTAGAGTTAAATAACCAAGATGATGCGAACTAGCTCGGCCAAGGCCGAGCCACCAAGTGGTAGTTCGCGCCGGTTCGCACCCGGTTTGGTTCAGTTCGCAGTCGGTTCGGTTCGTTTGAACCTGATTCGGTAGATTTCATTCGAAAACGCATTTTGATGATTTTCGACGAGTTTTCACGAGATTTCTTCTGTTCCAGAGGTTCCCAACTACCTTGATATCATGGTTAGACGGTTGTCAACTGAGGATAAGGCCAAATCCATCGTTCTTATCAGAAAACCCTCTAACCGAAGCCTATAAATACAGGCCTAGGAGCTCATTTCACAGGGAGGAGATCAAGAGGGTGAGGTGCTGTCAAAATTGAGAGTGAAGCCATGAATTTCAGAGGGTTAGCAGATCTTGGCGAAGTTTCTCCATAAATAAAAAGAGAGTTCGAGAGATCTGAAACCCCTTTCCCCCATATTCCTCTGGATTTAAGCTTGGTCTTAAATCCCGAGAAGAGTCGTAATCTCACTTGGTCGGCATTACCACTTTAGTGAATACTTCCTTCATGAAGTAGGAGCTTTGATTTTCAATCTGTCAACCGGATCTGATCAGCGGCGGTCCACGGATATCAACGTCCCCGGCATAGGTAAAGATCCCACGCAAACAACAGGCGATAAACATCTGTTGTGTGTTGTTTGAAGGAATTGTAATCTTATATTTTTATTGTGTAAGAAGATCTTATAAAAGATCGACTTTTTATTTATTTAAGTATTGTAACGACTAAAGTTGTAATAGATTTGATAACAATGAAAATAGCAATTTCTGACCCAAACACTCCATAAGCAAACATTCTCATAGCAGCAATTACTTTCTGTAGTGAGGATAAACCAATTTTCCCAGCAGCATCCCGTTTCTGGACAAAGTAGGAATCATGTGTTTCCACTATGGATAAAATACGAAAAATAGTGGATGATGCATACGAAACCTCCTTCGAAATAGTTTTGCAGGATACACAGGAGATTCACTAAAATAATCATGGAAAAGTCTCTCGTGTCCTTCAGCTCTATTGCGTTGAATTACAATGTGCCCTAGAATGGAACCACAATTACATGAACTTTGACCTTCGCTGGAGTGGTGTTCTTCCAAAGATGCGATTGTTAATAAGATCGCATAATCATCATCGTCGTCATCCTCTTCCTCTTGTAGCAAGGCACGTAACAAATTACTAGCCATAAATAATATTGAAGATTGGGTTAAAAATATTGAATGGATTTGAATTTAGTGAAAATGAAAGACACTGGTAGTGCTATTTATAGAGTGAGTGACCACATTTAATTAAAAAACGGCCGTTGAAATATGACCGTTGAAATATGAACGTTATAATACGACCATTGAGATATGACCGTTAAAATATTATTGTTAAATAAATTTAATTTTAAAATAATATGAATTTAAATTTAAAATAATATTTAACTTTTAACATGATTTATATAAATTAATTATTATATAAATTAATTATTTGTTAAATTTTAATATGATTAATTAATTTAATGAGCACTGTTATAAATAGCGGTAAATAGCCCCGTAATAGCGACGCTAATAGCGTTAGCGGTCCCTTCCCGCAACACTATCACCCGCTACGCTATCGCGCAATAGCGGTGATATATTACGAAATATGTTTGTTCACAAAAACAGCCAATAGTGTGTCATAACGGTAAATAATAAGCAATTGCATTCGAAATTTGCTTTTTGACTGCTATTTAAAAGCGATTTGAGGCTTATTTTTTTAAAATTAAACTCAACCCTTGATCATTGCATTCCACCGTCTCCTATGATTTTTAGCATATTCCCGCTACCTCTCATAGCCTCTGGCACCTACCTTAATACTTTCTCTCACCTCCTTCACCGTGAGCTCCTCTTAGAGTAGTCCTGTAATGACCGTAAAATTTTGATACTAGTTAAAATAAATTTTTAGTATTTTAAAATATTTAATTATGATTTTTAAAAGAGTATTTGTATATTTCTCAATTTTCTAGAAATTTTCTATGATTTAAAAATTTGATTATATATTTATTTAAATGGTTTTTATATTTATAAATTAATTTAGTGCAATGAAAATTCCTGGGATTTATCCGTTGTGTTACTGATACTATTAAGTATTATTTTAAATAATACGTTGTATTATTATTACTATTACGTATTAATTCTTATATTATATTGAATTATTAATTACGTATTATTTGTGTAAATTATTGTATTATTACGTATCAACTGTCGTATTAGCATAACTGATACGTTTTATCGTGTAGATAATTGTCACATAATTATTTGATTTTAAATGTAAGTAAATATATTTTTATTATTAGTTATTTCCGTTTAATTGTACAATATGGGTATTTATCGACAGTTTCGTATCAAATGTTGTATTAGCTCAACGTGTACGTTTTTATTTGTAGATAATTATTATGTAATTAGTTAATTTTTTAAGTACCCGTAATAATTATTTTACTTAGTTTCGTTTAAATACCTGAAACTATTTGAAAATACTCCCAAATTATTCTGCTTCCCGTCAAACCCCAACAACTACCCCCTCATCATGTTCTCTCCCTCTTCTCTTTTTTTTCAAAGAAAACGGCTCTACATGCACCGTAAAATGAGACTAAGCAACTCATCATCAATCACATTTTAATTTTTTAATATTAAAATTTTCCTATTTAAACACCCAGCTCATCTCTCTTTTCGTACTCTCTCTCTCTTCGTACTCTACCCGACAGCATATAGATCCACTTCGTCGCCAAGCGCTGTGCCGCTCGCCTCAGATCCCGCTGCCCATCGCTGAACAGTCCTCGCCGGAGCTCTTTCCGAGTTCGCCATCGTGCCCACCGCGTCAGATCCGACACACGCCGTCAACGTCGATTCGTTCGACGAACCCCGAGGCAAGATCCCGATACTCCTTTGACTTGATATTCAATTCTTAGATCCACTCTGAATTAATTAATTACTTGCAAGATCTCGATACTCTTTTGACTTGATATTCAATTCTTAGATCCGCTCTGAATTAATTAATTACTTGCAAGATCTCGATACTCTTTTGACTTGATATTCAATTTCTTAGACCGCTCTGAATTAATTAGCTGCTTGCAAGATCCCTATTCTTGCTCAGTATAATTTTAGAATGATCACAGATTTATTATGCATACGAACTCGTTACCCGAATAATTACTCGTTACAAATATAGAACTGTCGTGAACATATTGAACTGAGAACTATAACGTATAGAACTGTTGTGAACGAAATGGACTGTGGACAATAATGTATGACCATTCATATTGTAATACATATACTGTGATGACTTGCACGGATTTATTTGACGAATGATATTAAAAATAATATTTTGGATAATAGATACTGTAAAGATAAATAAGATAAAATTATTTTAGATTAGTTTATGATTTTTTAAGGATTTATTTGACAAAATAATCATTTTAAAATAATTATAATAAATTATTTTGGTGAAAAATCATTTTAGAGTAATTATAATAAAACAATAGAATTTGTTTGACAAAAGAATTATTTATGAATAATTATAATTTAAAAGAATTTATTTTAGAATAAGTATCAATTTAGAATAATTTCAGTAATTTAAGAAAGTTTTATAAAAGAAATTATTTAAAACATTTATAAATATTTTTTAAGGATTTATTTTATAAAAGGAATTATTTTAGAACATTTATAAATAATTTTTAAGGATTTATTTTAGAAAAGGGATTATTATGAATTTTTCATGATTTATGTTTCTTAATTTTAATTATGTGATATGTTATGATCTTGCTGTATATGATTAGTTGTGTTTATTACTCTTTGTTATGCTTGAGAACCGTTAGAAATTCATGACTAGTGTGGCCTGGTGTGTTCTATTTAAGACTTAGAAACCTGTGTGTATGTTGACTTAGAAAGCGAGAAGAGTTGGGATGGGGAAGTTAATGTTCATGTGATCGGATAAGACTGTTGATGTATCTTCCAGACTAGAACCAGTGAACCGTTTCGCACTGGGGTTAGTTTGTTGGGCCAAGTGAACCGTTTCGCACTTGGTCAGTGAAATCGTTTCGTCACCCGAGTTTTGCTTGAGTTCGAACCAAGCCGAAATCGGATTACGTGTAGTCCTCTCACCGAATCGTTTCGCGGGATTGGATGCACGTAGAGGATTTGTGAACAGTCAGTTATCCGGTG